ATCTCAGAACATCAGGAAATGCTTTATGTTATCCCGTAAAGTTATTTTAAAATACAAACCCATTCCATAGATGTAATGCCTCTGTCAATGAGGCAATTTTCCATATGTGGTTTTTAAAGATTGAGTTGAAATTCTCATAATGCACAAGTAACTATGTTAAAGTGTACAGGTTAGTGGCATTTGGTATATTCACCATGTGTGCAACCACCACTTCTCGCTCCTTTCAAAACACCTTGGTTATTCCAGGAGTATACCCCGTACCCTCTAGGTAACCACCCCTGCCCCCTGCCACACTCTACCCCCTGGCAATGACTAACCAGCAGGTGATCTCGGCGGACTTGCCTAGGCCATATATGCAACAGGACAGGAATCAGACAACATGTGGCCTTTGTGTCGGGTTCCTTTCACTCAGCATGTTTTCAAGGTCCATTCAAGTTAGGATTTGAATGAAGACCAGTGATAAGTGTCAAAAATGCTTGTTTAATAACAGTAGCTGATACTTATTGAGTGCTTACGGAGCACTTTATTTAGATGACTCTTTAATCATCTTACAAATAAGTACAAGTACGGAAACTGAGTCTTGGACAGTAGAACTGCCTTACTGGTCACACAGCCAGTGAGTGGCAAAGTTATACCATTGAAACTCGCTGTCTTGTCCATCAACCTTTCAAAAACACGTAGCATGTGATGTGCAGCCATGGAATAATGATACCCACGTTCCAGGTAGTAGAAGATAAAAATATCCTCTAGGCTATCTCTGCTTCCAGAGACAGATGCCAGAAAGGATTCGGCCTACAAATTGAGGAAAGGCTGAATCAAATTCGAAACTCACTTGCTTTCAAGCAAGGTGAATAAGCAACTTACTGCAAGTATTCAGGTCTCTGCATCCACAGAGGAGTCTTGCACTGACAAGGTCAGGGAGCCTAAAGCCGTGCCTCTCCTTCCATCTCCTGTGTGACTTGCATCCTCCAGAAGCAGCCCCATCTCCCTCTCCAAATGCAGCTGGTTCCTCTCTAGAACCTTCCAATGCAGCACATGGTCCTAGGGCCAGCAACTCACACCTAGGAACTGGTAGCCTGTGAAGGAGCTTAGATCGGAGAACTACTGGACCTCAATCTGCATTTAATAAGATCCCCAGGGGATTCAAGTGTGATTAAGTGTTTAAAAAGCACTGTTCTGGCTGTCTCAAAAAAAAAAAAAAAAAAAAAAAGTGGCAAGAAACCAAAACCTTAATACAACCTATTTAACCAAGAGAGATAAGATAAGCAATAAAGTACTAAAAATAAGTAGTTAAGAAGTCTTTTTCCTTTTTAAGAGATATCAACTGACAGAGACGAAATACCAGATAGTAAGAGGAAAAGGATGCTGTGCATTGATATATGCTCGAATAGTCTTACTAAAAATTTGAGTTACATGTATATGGGCATTTACGTGACATTTGTGCTGCTTGTGTCTTACCTCATCTTGTCCACCCAGAAAAAAATGAAAATGGATTATTCGTGGATCTTAGAGCTTAACGGCCCACTATTAGCCACTTTTTACATATAGCTAAGCAAAGACCAGGGTGACCCAGCATTTCACCAGCACACTGACATGTGGAGTACAAACATCTTTATAAATAACACAAGCTCGTATTTTTCTTATCAAAATGAAAACAAAGAAATAAATATAACACATTCCAATGTAACTAAAACAAACATCAGACATATCACTTCACTGTATGAAAACACAGTGGAAATTATTATTACCACCATAGACAATAAGCAAAATATTATGGCTACTGTGAGCAATCACTGATTCTTACTCTTTCTGTGAATTTGAGGCATTAGGATTTTTCTTTTTCCTTAGATGAGCATCAGGCCATCTTATTTTCAATGAGTTTTAACACAAAAATCATGAACTATGTGGATACCTTCATAATATATGAGGCACATTGTTTTTATACGACACTTTTAGCTCATCAAAGGCAAAAACAAATTCTGAGGTTCTTTAAAGAAATAAGTATGTTTAGTCATCTACCTACCCACTTACTCATTCTACGAGTATGTACTATGTTTCAGTTCGATCCCAGGTCCTGGGCCAGGTGAGAAAAGACAGGCATGGTCTCTGCCCTCAAAGTGCTTGTAATTGCTAAATAGCCAAGGGTCTGTTGAAGACATTCTGCTTTTATGTTTGAAACTTCCTGTGCTTTGACCTAGTCCCTTGTGCCAAGGAGGGTATGGCTCTCTCTAGGGGGGTTTCGCCACCAAAATATACTGTTTACAATTTAACAATTGAAACAAATGTTCTACCACACTAAAGTCATACGTGGCAAATCAGAAATACCTGAAAGGTCGAACGGTACAAACTTCCAGCTACAAAACAGCTCATGGAGATGTCACGTACAGCATGGCGGCTATTTGAAAGTTGCTAAATGAGTAGATCTTAAAAGCTCTCATCACAAGAAAAAAAATTTTTTATGACTGTGTATGGTGATGGATGTGAGGTAGGCTTACTGGGGTAATCACTTCACATATACAATCAAATCATTATGTTGTATGACTGAAGCTAACAGAATGTTATATGTCGATTACACCTCAACTTAAAAATTGTGAATGATGTTAAGAATTTGTATACCATTCTTTCTTATTTTGTTATTACCTAATAAAATCAAAGTCAAAAAGAATTATATAAAGGGGGGAGGCGCTTGGCTGGCTCTGTCGGTAGAATGTGCAACTCTCTGGATCCCAAGGTTGTGAGTTTAAGCCCCATGTTGTGTATAGAGATTACTTAAAAATAAAATCTTAAAAAAAAAAAGAATTGCATAAAACAAAATTCGGTGGAGAGGTCTTTTTCTGTGCACTAAAGGACATTCCCCTGTGGTGGTAAAAAAGACTGACTCAAAAAGTAGATCCATCATGTACCTATGGCAAGATGCTATTTCAGTTGACAAAACCACTTATAGTCACATATTTCTCATTCTCCGGCAAAGAAAAGCCCAAAGTGTTTTCTGTAGAGAACATTCCAGGGCAATGAATTTTAGGAGAAATGTATTGTGTGGATCATAAAAAGTGTCAGGTAGCAAAATGTACAATGCTGTCGATGATAGTTTTGAAGACTGACAGTTGTCTAAAATCCAGCATTTCTTACATCAGCTCTCTTCAAAACCATCAGCTCTCTTCAAGACTATCACGGAAGTCTAATTCACAGAGGTACTTAGGCAGACACAGAGTTCACGTGTGCTGTTCTTTGGCAAACTATTTTAATTTGGGGATAGAGCTTAGACACCTGAAAGGATGGAGGGCAAACAACATCCTCAACATTCCTGGCAGATACAAAATGATATGTAAGTGACCAATCGCTGAAGACCATGAAACTTCAAGAAGTGCCAGCAAATCAAATCATGGTTGTGTGCTTTTGACGAGAATCTCAAGCAAAGATATTTCTGTGTTGTTATTGCACGTGAGAACGGTTTCGTTGGGCGTCAGAAACACAAGTGACAACTGTGTTGTTGCAGAATGGGAAGGTCTGCAATGGGAAGTTGCAGAAGTGACATAATAAGATGAACCAGGAACAGCTGGGTGGCTCATTCGGTTGAGCGTCCCTGGAGTCCAGGGATCCAGTGCTGCATTGGGCTCCCTGCCCTGCAGGGAGTTTGCTTCTTCCTCTCCCTGTGCCTCTCCCCCTGCTTGTGCACTCTCTCTCTCTCTCTCTCAAGTAAATAAATCTTTAAAAAAAAGAAAAAGAAAAAAAGAAAAAGAAAGATGTATCTGTAGGTACAGCTGGAATATTTTCTGGAAACAAGCTTTGAATTTGTGACACAACTCCATACTAAGTGGGTGTCTTGGAGTCTTCAGTCATAAGGCGACAAGGAGATGATCTGAGGTTAAAAAAAAAAAAAACAATTAGGAAGTGGAATCTGATGTACCATTAAACAAAAAAACACTGCGGTTCCTGAAGGCCCAAATTACAAAGGGGCCACAAATACCAAATAAAACCGAGTCTCTTAACTTGCTGATTTTCAGCCTCATGCTTTTAAACTGTTTGACAAATATGGCACCTTTTGCTTTAATACACATTACCTTCGGGCAGCGCCGGTGGCCCAGTGGTTTAGCACCGTCTTCGGCCCAGGGCCTGATCCTGGAGACCCGGGATCGAGTCCCACGTCGGGGTCCCTGCATGGAGCCTGCTTCTCCCTCTGCCTGTGTCTCTGCCTCCCTCTGTGTGCCTCTCATGAATAAGTAAATAAAATCTTAAAAAAAAAGTACACATTACCTTCATCTGGTTTCTTCTTTCCTGCTAAGCTGATACGTTCTGCTGCTCCACAGGGACACGCCCAACTCACTGGGGTAAAATCACACTGTCGGGCTCCAGGAACATGCTCCTTCAAGTGGCCTTATTACAAAGCTTCGAACCGTGTTATGTTGCCCATCCAGCTGCCTTAACTGTTGTCTATGATTCACATCACAGCAGGAAGTTTAGAAGTAGTCATGTGGTTTCTACTTCCTCCATTATTGTGCAACTTCCTCCTCCTCACGCTTGTTGCTCCCAAGACTCCTGACAGCAACCATCTTCGTCAGATCCAATGGCTGTTTCTCTGCCTTCACTGTGTTGGTTTTCCAGTGGCATTCCACGTGGTCAAACATAGCCTCCTCTATGGGACGGTCTCCTCTAACTCAGCATCCCACCGTCCTGGTGCTCCCCTTCATCACTGCCTTAACTGCCCTGGTCTCCCTTGCTTGATCCTCCTCCTCCTTTTTCCCGACTTCTAAATGTTGGCCCGGGGCTCAGTGTTCGACTTTGCTTCTCCCCTCACTGTACACTCGTCTCCTAGATACCATGACTCTAAGGACCATCTATGCACAAATGGTTCCCAAAGGAATATTTATAGTCCTAACCTTTGCTCTGGACACACGTATGTGCGCACGTGCGCACACACACACACATAACTTAATGAGATATGGGTTAGCTCTACGTGAATGTCTAATAGGAATCCCACACCCAATATGTATAGATCAGAATTTTTTCTTGTACCCCAAACCTGCAAACATTTTTCTCCCCTGAGGATTCCTTGCCCCAGTAAATGCTACCACTATCTACCCTCAATTGCTCAGGTAAAAAAAAAATTGGGTAGGAGACACCCTGACTTCTCCATTGACGCGTGCTGCATGTTACCAAGTCCTGTGAGATCTTCCTAATAAAGTACAGCAGTCTGATCTCTTCTCTCCACCGATCTGCCACTATGCTAGTCGTGCTCAAGAGCATCCGTTTCCCCCCACCTCTCTCCTGCTCCTCTCTGCGTGGTTTTTCTTCCCCTGTATCATAGTGTGCTGGCGTGTGTCTCTGTCTCTGTTTCTGTCTCTCTGTGTGTCTCTCTCTTCTTTCTCTCTCCTTGTAATCTCTGACGCAGATGATCATAACTGTCTTCCTCTGGTCAGTCTGCTTATCTCACCTTCCTGCAATCCATTCTTTACGCAGAAGCCAGAGAGAGAAAAGCCTGTCACTCTCTAGTTCACACACTCCAGCAGCTTCCCGAACTCCTGACCGTGACCTCCAGGTGCTCTGGTCCCTGGCAGTCTCTCCAAATACCTATCCTTTTACGCCTCCTCAAAGCGCCTCAGGGCTTTCTCTTCCATGCAAAGTCTCAGCTTCAAGACCCGGGCACTTGCTTTGCTATGTCGAATGTATTAACTAGAGTCTGTCTGGCCCCTTCACAAAATTAAAGAACAAATTATTAAATATATGAATTCCAAAAATGACGATGGAATCTCAATGGCTGTGTTCAGAGTGACTTCACAGACTTATGCTCCAAGACAGCTCTCCCTTAAACTCCTCTATGAGTTGTACTTGATGACAATCACGGTCCCATTGACAAATGTTCTCAAATGTTCTCAGGAAGGGCAGCACCAAAGCCCTTCATTTTCCAGGGCAATTACTCTTTTCCTATCTGTCCTCAACCATGATTTCCTACAGAACTAGGAAAGCACAGTGGATCCACTGAGGAATTGCCAGGATGAACCAAAGGGATGGCGGGGAGGATGGAGGATCAGAACAGGACCACCTATGTCCTATGTCCTGGGGTGCCCAGAGCCAGTTCTGCAGCTTGCCCAAGGTTCTGCAGAGGAAAAGTGTGGGCATTCTTCAGTAACTACCTCACTGAAAAGAGCGACGTACGACAAGCCATACGTGTCTCCACAAGCAGAACCCATTATTTTAATAACACAAGTTTACAAATTAGGTGTAGTCATCTTTGAGATGACTATTTACAGCCACTGCTTTAGGACAATGCCTTTATCAAGACTGTTTCAAAGGTACACATTCAAGTCGGACAAGTTATTTTTTCTAGTATCTCCATCACTCAACACAAACAGGCTCCTTCTCTATTGCAAATATGTTCTGTAAGGACCTGATGAGACAGTGTGTATGAAAACATATTTTAAAGTGTAAGTACTTTTTATCAAGGTATAATTATCTGTGGCCCAGTAAAAAGAATAAAATCTATGTCGATTCAAAGAATCAAACAGGAGACGTCAGTCAGCTTGGTACGATAAGTGTCTAGCGCATGGCTGCAGCCAACAAACATTTGCTTAGAGAGAACTTAAGACAACAGCTCAAAAACCCTAGTGACAAATGTGGTACACCAAGCACATTTTGCTTAAACATTATTCTTAGAATGTGCTCAGATGTTAAGTTTAAAAAGAGAGAGAGAGAGAGAGAGAGAGAATGGTTTTCAAGAGGATTCTTTTTTACAGTCTTGGGAGGATAGCATGATGGACTACAACACCAGAGACAACCCTAGACTTCAGGTCCAGTTCTGCCCCTGGTTAAAATTCTAGGAGAGTAACTCAGCCTTCTTCACTAGCAGACGAGAGGTCCACACTGCAGGAACCACAGGCCTCATTCTAATTTTGACACCTGATTCTATGTTCACACCAATTAAATCAGACTCACCATGTACTGAATCCAGTGTGAGAAAGTCAAAATTGCATCACATCATTTCAAGAAAATTAACTCATCATGACATCATTCTCTGATTTTATGAAACACTTGATTATGAAGTGTTTTTTGTTCTTTCGTCAACAGTTAAACTGTCTTGAAATTTGGCTGTAGAACTGACAGGAACTCTGTATCAGGCCTTATTCCTAAACTGTTCAGAATCCACATGTTTTGACCTGAATAGAGGCTGAATTACTCCTCACTGCTCTGTGGTGTCTTTGAGGTGGAGATGGGGCTTTATCATGTAACAGGAGCCAGAAGGAAGAAGCCCAGGTCACTGGCATTCCACTACCTTTCGCTGAACACAAAGCAGAGGATAGGTAAAGCAGCACTGTAGATAAGTCAGGGGAGAATGGGGGAAACACCAGATAGGTGAAAGTTAGAAGACAGACGCTCTAAGGAATTCAAAGAGCACTATGCTTAAATACAATGCAGCAAAGAAGCTCTGGTCTATGGGGATCCTTCGGTCAAATCGATTTCTTTATTTTTCTGTGTTACTTCCTGTCTCCCACGAATAGGAAACAGGGCAACTTGTGACACGGTTTTCTGTTTCTCTGTATCTGCCAGACAATTTAGTCATGAAGAAGCAAAAACACAAGTTATTCTCTCTGGTGAGAACAGTGGGGTTAACAACGAGAGTAGGCACTGGCGTAAACACATATGCATTGTCAACAGGGTTGTCCAAAAAAAAAAAAATTTTTTTTTTTAAATAAAAATTCAAACCGAATTTTGTTATAAAATCGCCATAATTTTTTTGATATGACTAACTGGGCCACATACAACCATCTAATTTTGAAGAACTGCTAGAAGGCTCCTTTACAAGCAATTTCCAGAGAATACCACACAAACCCTGAAATAAAAACATTCTCAGTAATGTTTTTCTTGGAGGCAAGCTTATATAGCTAGCCAAAAGGAATATTTTAAGAATCCCCCAAATTGCATTGGGGACAAGGAAAAAGGAGGGGACCACAGGGAGAGAGGGACAGTCATTCCTTTACACAAAGACAACGTGATTCCTGAAGTATATCATATGGACGCTTCAAGTCTTGGCCCTAAAAGAAACTGCATCCTGTGGAATTCATATCTCAAGTCACACACAAGTTGCAGATGAACAGTAAATTGTGTGCTGAGCTTTAGACATTATGTGGCTTGGCTTATAAAGGGCAATGGCAGCTATTCTCACTCAAAAGAGTGTATCGTGCATGAGTTCAAGCCCCACGTTGGATGTGGAGATAACTTAAAAAAAAAAAAGTTTATCCTGTTTGTGCAATTGCATTTTTTTTCCCTAAAATTAAAGAAGGGAGGCCATACAAGGAGCAATTATCTTTGTCTCATTTAAGTGACATAAACAGGGAAAGAGAATTGGTTCATTTCTAAGTTTGTTTGTTTTTTTTTCTTTCCTTAAGAGTGCAAGTTAGCAGTCACCTATTAAAATCAATAAACACGCAACACCAGTGAGAGGAAACATTTGGCAGGCATCGCAAGTACATCACCAAGACACAAACACGCATTTTACTGTAGGCTGCAGTAGATCTGGTCCTTTACATTTCCCAGGAACCGGTAACTTCTCACAAGTAATGAAGTGTTTAGGCATCACTGGTAAAGCCATGTCTGTAGCTGTTTTCGTAGAAAGATACTAATGCCAAAACTATTGGTCTTAAAAATCTGAGAGTGATCACTTGCAGCAACAGGAAGACCCTGAGGGTTTTGGAGAAGGTTGAAATATATGAAAATCTGTACTACGGCGGCTTTTACAGAAATGGGGGTTCCTTTTTTTTTTTAAGATTTTATTTGTTCACTTGACAGAAGGAGGGGAGAACACAAGCTGGGGGAGGGGCAGGCAGAGGGAGAGGGAGAAGCAGACTCCCCTCTGGGCAGGGAGCCCAATGCGCAGGACTTGATCCCAGGACCCTGAGATCATGGCCTGAGCTGAAGGCAGACGCTTCCCCCTCTGAGCCGCACCCCAGTATACTGAAATTCCTGCAGACACCCAAGGGGTACTCTTCTTAGGGCCCTCAAAGAACGAATGCGGGCATACTTCCTATTGTCCACCAGCTCTCTCATCCTCGCTAGGGGTCCCCCCATCACACCCCACACCCTCTCTTCTCCTAAGTGACAGCTGCACTCAGCAGCCTTCATGGGCCTTCTTCAGCACTCGCAAGGACAGAACGGACCGTGCATGCTGAACTCAGCTTTCATGCGACCCAGTGAGGGACGTACTGTCACACACAGGGGACTGTGGCTCAGTAAGGAGGAGTGTTCTCAGCACCCAGACAGTTAGACTGAGCCTACTCCCATTTTACCTGGGGATGGAGGTTAACTTGCAGTCTGTGAAATCCCCAGATCTGGGCCCAGCCATAGAGCTTGGCACTGAACTCTCCCGTACTCAATTATTTTTCCTGTTGCTTCGTGGTTATCATCCCACTAAACTGTTAAAACATCAGAAGCCTAGATCTTGTGTTATAGGTTTGTGGGTCTTTTATTTCAAGATGGCCTTAGTGCAAACGTACGGCCAATTTGGACATTGTAAGTGATGATGATAATGTGATGGAAATACACAGGGACCTCCAAACATATGTGTATGGGTGTGTATTTTCAGGGTAGGTATTTAAATCGTGATGTTCTTTTCATCCCTTTCTCTCTGAATGACTATTTTTTTTTTTACTTCCGTCTTCCTAGGAGAAGCCAAGATAAAAATATATGAACTTGTCGCAAGTCACATCTTAGAGAAGAAACTCGCTTAATCAGTGGTTTAGTATGGGAAAAATAATATCAGATTTTCAGGCGGCTGCTTCACCACTATTTAAAATCTCTATACTGGTATAGTGCAATGCGTTACTTAAAAAAATTAACTGCGTGCTTTCATGCACCATCTTGCTAGTGTTAAAACCTTGAGGAAGGCGCTCAACGCTCTTAGAGCTGTCTTGCTCCTGTCTTTGCTCTGGTCTCTGAGGTCCACAGAGCTGTCCTCCCTGCCCAGGCTGGCCTGGCTCCCCACCAGCATCACCCAGTCAGCAGGAAGGAGCATGAACAGCTTCAACATGGTTAGAGACCCAAGGCAATCTATTTTACTCTTTTTCTGTAAGCATTTCTTTATTTTCTTCTTAATGTTCTCTAGTTGAGAACTGTCTTTCTTCTTGTTTATAATCAACAAAGCCAGTTCTGAAGACAACAAGAAGTCCTCAATCGGTGTATTGGCAGAGCCGCTTCCTTCCGGACACCCTCAGGGAGACTCTGGTCTGAGATGCCTTTGGCTGCTGAAAATCCCTGGTGTTCCCTGGCTTGTAGATAGATCACCCGCTCTCCACATGGCCATCCACGCTCTGCGCCGCTCTCAGCTTTCTTAAAGCTTATCCTTACAGAATTCACACCACTTAAAAGTCACCAACCAAAGGTGCCGTGAAGCATTTGATACGGGGCTTATGGAATTAATACATTTGTACTTGTGGGACTGCAGAATGATGAATCCTCTCAAAGCTGTCCACAGCTGAGCCCCAGAAAATGTGAGCATGTCCCATGTTTCCATGGTGAAGGGGACACTGCAGGGGCAGTGAAGTCAGGGAGATGGGGAGCTATTGTGGATTATCCAGGTCAGCCTCATGAGACCACAAGGGTCCTTATAAGTGAAAGAGGCAAGAAATCAGAGGAGGTGTGACAAGAGAAGCAGAAGTCAGAAGGACGTGATTGCTGCCAGGGGCCACAGGCCAAGGAATGCAGGTGGCCTTTAAAGCTGGAAAAGTCAGGAAACAGACTCTCCCCTTGAGATTCCAGAAGGAATGTGGCCCTGACGACACACCAGGGCTTGAGCCCAGTGAAACCTATTTTGGACTTTTGACCTCCAAAATCATAAGAGAAAAAAATCTGTGCTATTTTTAAGCCAGTAAATTTGGTGATTTGTTACAGCAGCCAGAGAAAATGAATGCAGTCCCATGGACCCTGCAGGAGAAGAAATTATTCAAGGTGATGTCACCTTGTGCTTGTTTAAGAGAGCTGTTTCTGGCCAGGTTGGCTGAGCATCTGGCAAGGATCTGTGGGTCACATGCAGGCTCCTGGTGCGACCATCACCGGGTACCCAGCTAGTGAGAGCCAGGGGGAGCAAGGGCCCTTGTGCTGGACTCACCGTCCAGGTGCTCCTGGTGCTGGGACGGGACGTGCCGTCTCGGCGGTGTCTGGCCCTGGCACTGGTGTCTCTCCAGGTTCATGAAGCCTATCTTGGTCCACAGGCTGAAAGGGCAGCCCACCCTAATGTATTCCTCTTCAATCATAAAGGATCTTTGAACTGTTCTTGTAACCACTGTTACACAGCTGCTCGGGTCACGGGCACCAGCACTGTCTTCACCTCCTTCCCCTCACAACCTGCAGCCTACCCATGGGAAAGCTGTTGCACTCCGGCCTCACAGTATTATCCACATCAGACTGTGTCTTGCCACCCAGTCCAAGCTGCAGTTTTTCTCTCACTGGGAAACTAAGAGGACGGTCTGCCAGCGGGTTCCCTGATGCTAGTCCTTCTTCCCCATGGTGAGCTCCCTATGCAGCGGCCACCATCCTTTGAAAAACACAGGTCAGAGCACCTTGTTCCCTTCATAGAAACTTTCTGATAGCTCCTCATGACACAGAAATAGTATCCAAACACCCTACTGTGGTCCAGGTTCCCTTTACCCACTGGCTCTCTTGTCTCATCTTCTACTTTTTCTCTTGGTGAACCCCAACCAAGCCTTCTTATTGTTCCTCAAACATCCTGTTCCTGCCTTCGGGATTCCACTCTCATGGTAGTTGTCAGTGCCTTGAAGACTGGACATGGAGGGCTGACTTTATAGGAGCTGTCTGGGAACCCCAGCAGTCCAACCCCTGGAGGCCTGGGGTCCTGCGGGAGAAGGGGGTGCACAGAAGGGGGTGCATCTGGTGGGAGTAGAGTCTAGGCAGTCCTGCAAATGGAGAAGAGGACCATGCTAGCCTGAGGTCAGCTGGTTCACCAGCAAGCGGTCCACAATGCAAGAGATTCATCCAAGTTGTGACTAGTAACATGATTGTCTTTAAGGAAAAAATAAAAAAAACTTTATTTATTTGAGAGAGAGCGAGAGAGAGAGAAAGGAGGAGGGGCAAAAGAGAAGGAAGAGGAAGAGAGAAAGAACTCCAAGCAGGCTCCACGCTGAATGCAGAACCTGAGGTGGGACTCGATCTTACAATCCTGAGATCATGACCTGAGCAGAAACCAAGAATCGGACACCTAACCATCTGAGCCGCCCAGCTGCCCCTACAGAGTTGTCCTTTATTACTGAGCCATATTCCACAGTAGGGAAGGATGGTTGCTTTATCCCTTTGCCCACTGAGGGACATTCGTGCTGTTGCCAGGTTTTGGTGATTATAAAGAAAGCTGTTACAAATATTCATGACATTCATGGACATGTTTTTGTGCAAGTGAGAGCTTTCATTTCTCAAGGGCAGATACCTAGGAGCAGGTTTGCCAAGTGACATGGCGAGTATACAATTACATCACATCAAATTTCCCAACTGTTTTTCAGAATGGCTGTGCCACTTTCCACCCTCACCAGCAGTATACAATGCTCTGCATCCTTTGCTAGAGGACTGTCGACATGCTTTGTAATCTAGCCATTCTGTTAAATATGTGGTGGTATCTCACTGTGGTTGTAAATCGTATTTCTCTAACGGCGCTGAACATCTTTTCATCTGCATATCTTCAGTAGACTGTTGAAAAAGATGCTTTTGGCTATTTGTTGCTTGGTTGTCTCTTATTTTTGAGTTTTGAGAGTTCTTTATATATTTTGGATTTAAGTCTTTGTTAGATGAGATGTGCAAATGTCTTCTACTGGCTTCCTTAGGATATTCTTCACAGAGTATATGTTTTTACACTTGATGGAGTATCACTTATCACTTTTCCTTTCACACATCATGCTTTTCCTGTTGTATCTAAGAACTCTGGGGGCACTTGGGTGGCTCAGTAGGTTAAGCATCTGAGATCCCAGCATCTCAGCATCCTGGGATCAAGCCTTGTATCAGGCTCCCTGCTCAGCAGGGAGTCTGCTTCTCCCTCTCCCTCTGCCACTCACCCTGGTCATGCTTCCTCCCTCTCTCTCCCTCTTCTCTAATAAATAAATAAATAAAATTAAAAAACAAAAGAACTCTCCACCTAAACCTGTGTCATACCGTATGTATACTTCTTAGAGTTGTATCATTCTGTATATTAGTCCATTCCATTTGGAGGTAATCTTTGTATATGGTGTGAGACACAGGTCCAGTTGTGGTTGATGTCCAACACCTTTTACTGAAAAGACTTACTTTCCTCCACTGAACTGCCTTTGGTTCTTGTCAAAAGCCAGTGAGCTTTATTTGTGGGCCTATTTCTAGACTCTCCATTTGTTTCATTATGTCTATCTTTTCCCAGACACTGAATTGCCTTAATTACAAAAGCTTTAAAGGATACCTTAAAAATCAGATAATGCTAGTCCTTCAACTTTGTTCTTCTCTTTCAAAATTGTTTTAGTTATGCTAGTTCCTGTCTCCCTCTCCCTGTGTGTGTGTGTGTGTGTGTGTGTGTGTGTGTGTAGTTTAGAATCAGCTTGTCTATATCTTCAAAGAATTCTTCTAAGATTTTAATTGGGAATGTATTGAATCTATAGATTGTTTTATGGAGGAATGACATTTTAATTATACTGAGTCTTCCAATCCATGAACATAGTATGTGAGAGACATTTATTACTTCTTTAGTTTTTTTTAACCAGTGATTTATAGTTTTCAGCATACAGATCCTGCACACATTTTTACGTCAGATTTACACTTGAGTATTTCAATGTCGACCCTTGTATCTTGGCAATTTGTTCTAAGAGCTTTTTTGTAGAATTCCTGTGACTGCCTACATGGAGAATCATGGTGTCTATGAAGAGAACTAGTTCCATTTCTTCCTCTCTAACCTAAATGTCTTTTATTTCATTTTCTTACCTTATTGCATTTGTACTTCATTCATTCATGCGTGTGACCAGATGGCACGGACTCCGCATGAGCACTGGAAGTTCACCAAATAACACGTCCACATCCTGCCTTTCTCATGTGTGGTGGTTAATCCCACATATAGTTAGCATACGCTAAATCTGCATCTGGCTCTGTTCCTATGATGATTAGTGGGAGAATATTGGCAGTACACTGAGCAGAAACATGGAGGCATCGAGGGAGCTGGTCTTCACACACGGCAACAGTAAATACTGATTCCCATTTCTGACCTCTCTGTTCAAAGTCCCAGAAGAATAGATGGGACACACAATCAAGCACAGATGTATATCTTCATAAATGACAAAGAATATTTTTTTTCCTCTGAGACATGGGGGAAGGAAGAATGGACTGATACAGAAACAGAAACATTGTGAATTGAAGAGAAGGAAGACAGCACATGGATTCATGGAAGCTGGAGTTATAATACGGTATTTCTTACAAAGAAACATGGATCGGCACAAATAAATAATTAGATAAGGTGGTGCCCAACTGCCACCAGTGCAAATAGTACTCTTTGCAGGGAATTTCAAACTTTTCTGCTTCGTGACTTAAAGGACTAATGGCACAAATGTCTTATGCCAGAGAGCTGCAGGGTTAAGTCATAACAGAGGAAAAAGGCCACAGCCATTCTTAAAAATACATCTGTAGTTTGTTTGCATATTATAATTCTACTGGTTTAAATTAACACAATATTAATATAATACATTCTTGGGGGGAGGGAAGCTGGAGGGTGGAGATGTAGCAGATTCAATACAGTAACACAAGTAACAAATGACAGTACTCACAAGCAGCAATGCTTTGGAGGGACCACAGGTTGTGGATCAAAGTAAAAATAGAAAAAGTAACAAACAATCTCAATTTCTATGAATAATGAAAACAGTGATTTTTTAAAAAAAACTACCTTTAATGCACAGAAATAAGGGTAAGTAATGTTACAGATAGATATGCGTAAGATAAAACATATCCAAATGGGATTAAATGAACATGTTTCATCCTAAGTAAATCCATCTGTAAAAACAATCACTGAATTCTTTTGGCTTTTGAAACCATCGCTAACATAGGTCACATTATTTCTTGGTCAAACACAGAAGAAAGTTCATTTGACTGTGAGAACACGCATTTTGTGTTTTCATTCCAAGCCTGTTCTAATCTTACTCCTGCCAGTGCTGAGGTCTGTATCCAGGAGGCCACTCTTCTGTTTTCGATCCTCACCACACTTGGGTTCCCAAGGGATCAGTGTGGCTGAAGGTGATGGGCCAAAAGGAGAAGAGGTCAAGGAGAGAACAGGAACGGGATCCACTGCTCACGGGAAAGTGTGCAAATTAACAAGAATGCGAATCTAGTGATCTAGTGTCACTGCCTCAGGATGACCACATCTACCAAAACACCTTCTTGTTTGAATATACGCACTTCCAACATCTGCTTACATAACAGCTTACCCATTCATAAGAGAGGATCCAGCAGCCACGGGCGATTCCCAGCAGCACATTCAGAGTTCGCAGAGGCTTCCCAGACAGCACGTGAGTGGTAGTTTCACACACCTCCCGGGCAAAGGAAAAGCCCTTCAATTTATTCACAACCTGGACAACGATGTTCTGCTCTCTGTTAAATGGGGGGGAGGGAGGGAATCAATATAATAACTATGTTTCCTACATATGAACATCAAGGTGATTACATTGAATAATAGTTTTTTTAAAAAAACTAGAAAGCTAAAATTCTACGTTGATCTTAGGTATGGAGCTCATGTTTTAATTTCTTTATGATCAATGACTTAAAATTTGGGGAAATAAAAAAACTTCAGTTCTCAAATCCAACTGTCTATTTTAATTGCTGGCAAAGCTTCCCCAGGCTGGAAGTGGCTTCCCACATGTCCCCGGGCCAGAACACAGCCAGCATCAGAAATGGGCCCTGCCATTCCCACCATGGTTACTTCGCAGATCTGAACCAACCTATGGACGGTCAGGACCAAGCTTATCCCTTGCTTATTTTATTTGAAATATAACATTTAATTGAACTCACAGTTGTTTTTTTTTTTTTTTTCTAGTAACGGGGAGGAAGGGCCTTTTGCATTACATTATCAGGTCAAATCTTAGGGCAAATTTGGCAGAGGCTCCTTATTTTTACAAAGCCCATCATTGTTTATCTTATGGTCTGTCATTAGTGTCTCAAGTACCTGTGAAGAAATATTCTTCCCACCTAATTTCCTCCCCAAATTGCTCACCATTCTTCTTGTCTTCCCTTTACGACCTCCTTACTAAAGCCTTTGGTTCCTACACATCGCATTTCCCTCTCCCTCCCAGCAAGTTTTGGAAATCCCCAATGAAATACAGATGACGTGAAGCGCACTCTGAGCCACGCTATGACGTACACGGTGAGTTAAGAGATAAATTTCTCTCCTCTCCAAAAGTGATTATGAAGAGAAAGAAGCTGGCTGTTCTCACACATGCGTGGACCGCTTATAATCACACTGCATCTACCTCACAGTACTTCTCAGTTCTCTCTCCAGCCGTCTTGGGTATGTCAAGCTCAAGACCTATTTCTTTACATGTGAAATGAAAGGGCGGAACGATATCACAGTTTAAATTCTTAGAGACCACTAGGGCCAAAAGAGATGAATGGGTCAAGACCCGGGCCCTATCACCACATCAACCAGAGAATCTGTGCTTATCCGGGTGATGGAAAATATTAAATTTGGGGGAAATGCAAAGAAAACAAAAGCATAAGGAAGTGAAAAGCTCTAAACCATATGCTCCCCAGGCCCTTCATCTCTGCAGATCGATGATTTTCCTCATTCCAAATCTGGCAGCTGCCAGCTATTTGTTGGAAGTGTTAATCAACAACAAGTGTCTCTTTGAGACATGGCTAATCAACGTAGCATTACAACCTCTAGGTCTTGTCCTTAACTTCGGACAAGAAGTATATGTGGGGGAAGAAACATAAAAAAAGAATACGGCCTAAATGAAAAGTTCGATTTTCAAAACTTTGAGAAGATAACTATTTACTAATGTGTTTTATACTAGGGGCAAAAAATATGGACTTTAAAAAGCATTACACCCACCATACTCAATTTTCACTTTCATATTAGACTATTTAGGATGTTTCTTGTATTTCATAAGAGATTAACAAAAATTGTGAGTGTGCTCCTTTTTCACTAGCTAATGTATGGTGTTTGAACTATTGGTCCTTTTGATATCATATGCCATGGGTAGGAAAAGGGTCCTGGAACAGAAAGCATGCACTTTTTCGCAGGCTATTTTTCACTGAAATGTCCCAGTGTTTTGATGAATGCCTTTAAAACCTTAAAACATATGATTGATATAAAAAAAAAAAAACCAACACATGGTTTTCCCCTTTAAATAGGAATTCAAAAATCTGTTACAAAGAATATAGTGCTGTATTTTTGTTGGATGTGCTATATATTGTGTTAAATGTTTAAGGAGGATGATAAGAGCGTGCCAGCAAGCTATTAACTCTTTCACAAAATGTGTAAATAGTGGTATAATATAGTTGTAGAAAGCTTCCCAGCAAGGTGTTTATGAACTTTGAGGGACTCAGCCAGTGGTGCTCCATTTATTGAACTTCCACGGGGTACAAGTGGTGGATACACAGAGACAGTATATATGAAGCAAGAAGCCGAACAGCAAAATACTATAATACCTCTTAATGCTATTTAATCAGCTCAAAAAGTCTTCAATGATAAACTGTTCATAGTCTTCTAACCACGTTTTTTTTTATTTCCAGGGTTCTTCTAACTCTAGTATCAATGATTAACAGCAAAACAGTGCAAAGCTACGAGCTGCCCTAAAAGCACAGCACCACAGTATATGAAAGAAAAATCTAAAATTTTACATTGAGTAGAAAGTTATCAAAACAATGAATACTTACTCAGATGGCATGCCTGTCATGACTAATGTTCTCGTTGGCTAGAGATTTCAAAAGAGAAGGAAGAAAAAACAGTCAGAAATATAAAAAACATTTTTTCCCACAGAAATTAACTTTAATACATTTTTTTGAAAAGTTACATCACTTAAAAAATAAACATTTAAGCATATATCAAAGAAAAAAACTTTATGTTCCTGGAAAAAAAAAACACAAACAAACAAACAAACAAACAAAAAAAACCAGCCCAAGCAGCCCAAGAGATAGAAACTGAGATACTATACCCAAACCAATCCCAAAATAATCCAGAACATGAGGCAGAGGAGTGCGGGAAAAAATTTTAAAAATGCTTCCCTCCAGAAGTTTATTCTCCTAGTTTAGCTACCAGACCTCTAAATGTGCCATCGTGCTTAGGGACTTGTGAGGAAGAAGAGGGTAAGAAGGCATTTTTTTGCAAGCTGAAGAGCCATTTCTTAAGGTTTCTAGCCTTGCCTCAGTCACACATACACAATAATGCTCATGCTCCTGCGGCCTGGGTCAATCAAATGCTTTAACCTCTTGCACACAGAAGCCCACATCAGCTCAGGACTGCTTACATATGGTTTAGCATCTGCTACTAATTGGAACTGTAAAGTTCTTTTTAATAAGTTTTTAAATACTTTTTTTTTAATTTACATAAAAGCTCTCCCTCGAGGCCCATGCTAACAAGTGCCATGATGGTGAGCACACGTTCAGGCTACTGTGACAAATGGTCCTGGCCTGAAATACGATGATGAAACAAAAGGAGTAATGCTGTTATTAAGAGTAAGTGTACTTATCTGTCCTTATAAGTGACGCATTAGAAAATACATCCAATATAATTCCCTTGATTAACCAAGGAAGCTCCTTTACACGATGATGTGGATTGGTATCTGCCACTTATTTAAAAATGAATAACAAAATAAGATGGTTGGTGGATGGAGAAATAGATACATGATGGAGTAAATATTTAAAAGAGTTCCTTGTAAAACCAAGGCTGGAGGAGAAAAGTGTAAACTATTTAAAGTGGAACAGAAGATTACTGGGTGTCTTCAATGAATACCCATGTGCGTTGTTCATAAAAGTCATCAGCTTCTATGAGGTTTATACCTTTCATTGTCTTTGAGTTTATTTTACAACTCTAGTAGCTGTAGAAAACTGATAGGAATGCAAATTATTCTTGTCTCTAGAAACTCAAAGTCTGACCAGTGGACATTTGATTGATGTCCCTCTCCTACTGGTGACAAAGCCATGTCAGCACTGCTCAGGGTCCATTAACAGGTCTCCTCTGTAGATTCTCCTTTGAAGAGGACAAAACAACTTCCCAGTCTCATCACTGGCTAATGAGTTGAATAAAATTGTTAACATGTATTTATTTTCTATTAGTGGGAAAGTCACGTGTATCTTTATAAAATTATCTTTCACCAGTTAGGAAGGTTTCCACCAAGATGCCCAACAGATTCATCTGCTAAAGATTAGCTGCTTCTGTCAGACAGAGGACACTCCACAGGCAGCTTGAGCCCAGAATGGTCTATTATTGGCTCCCGGCGCTGAATGCCAAGTGGCAATAGAACTTTGCTGGCTCTTTTTCACTAATTTTAATTTTCCTCTCCACTTGTTTTGTTTTGTTTCATTAATGGATGAATTATTCTCCATTATGAGAATGCTTAGGAATGTGGTTTTATGGTCTGACTACTTGGTGTTCTATATAAATTAATTAATGGATTATAGAGATTTATTCTTTTTTGGTAAGAGACCGTAGAGGACTGGGTTTATTAGCCTTTTTTTTTTTTCCTGCTTATTTGCCCATTTTGGAGCTAAAATGAATTAAGACATTTATGTCCCCAAGGAAGGAGGATAGCTCCTTGAAATCTGGGCTGGTTTTAGTATTTCTGTCTTTAATCTTGACCAGTGGCTGAAATTATAACTAACTCAGAAATGTTTTAAAAATTCAAATTCACATAGTTAATGTGTTTAGAAATTACCACTAGTGTAATAATTTTGGCTTAATGAAAACAGTTATGTCTTATCTGAATTCTCCATGTTAAGTATAATATAAACATACATTTTATTCTACTGGAGTTTATTTTTCCTAGACTTAGATGGGTTTACTGGTAAGATTACTCTTGTACAATGTTTAAAGATTATTTTTAAAAATGTAAATTTGTGACAAATCATTATTCTAACAAAATTTTTATATCAATACTGATTGTGTTTCATAATACGTCAATGTGAAGATAATTTCCAGGATCTCTAATGTTAGATTAATTAAACAAGGAGGCCATTAGACTAAGGTGGCTTTAAAGCCTTAGCTTTAAAGCTAAGTAGCCTACATAAGCAGACCAAAACCAGAGCCTGTAAACTACTTAAGGTTAAGAAATAAAAACCTAAGAACAACCAATCACAAATAGCCAACTAAGCTTTCCCATATAAGGCAACTGCTTAAGCTACAGCCAATTAAATAATTTCCTTGCTTAGATTCCACCTCTGCTCTATGAGTCTTTCCCCTAGCTCATGGCTTTGGTGCACTCCTAACCACTTCTGTTTGTTAGTACCTTATTCAAATCAAGTTTTGCCCAAATAAACTCTAAAATGTTTTAATATGCTTCAGTTTATCTTTTAATATTAGGTAACATAAGCCTTGGGCAGATATTAATTTAAAAATTGTTGGATACGGGATGCCTGAGTGGCACATTCGGTTGAGCGACCAACTCTCAGTTTCGGCTCAGGTCATGATCTCAGGGTTTTGGATCAAGCCCTGCGTGTGGCTCTGTGCTCAGCACCAAGTATGCTTGGGACTTTCTCTCTCTCTTCCTCTGCTCCTCCACCATGCTCTCTCTCTCTCTCTCTCAATAAATAAATAAATTTTTAAAAATTTTTGGGTAACTCAGTAATTTTGTAAGAGAGAATACTGAAACACTGATTACTAAGCAGAGTTCTATTTTTTATATATTTTTTGCTTATTTTTATATGCAATACAGGTCATGTTGATAAGCATGTTCATTTTTCCAAATTTAAAAGGATATAAAAGAGACATGGAGGTAGGTAGGACAGTATGATGTAAGCCTTGCTGGTCTGCTAACATGCTTGGGGAAAATGGACATTACTCCATTGTTCGCCTCAGTTTTCTGTGAAATAGAACTTACTAAGTTTGGCTAAAAAAATATAATTAATATGAGTGGTTAAGGTTACACTAAAAATAATGCTGACAGAGGAATACAATTGTGCGTCTTTTTTTTTTAATACATTATTTTATATTTCTTTAAGCCGTGGTTTTCAGGTTTTATGGTTTCTGGACTCCTTTTTGCTATTGCGACTCATTGAGAAACCCAAAGAACCTTTCACTGATGTGGAAATGACCATCAATATTTAACATCAGAGAAATTAAAACTGAAAAACTTTAAAATATTTATCGGTGCACTTAAAGATGGCAAGAAGAACACACTGCCTGTTAACGGAAATATCTCACTGTTACTATTAAGTTGTTGTGACTACAGGAACGCAGCTCTGGGATTTAGTGTCAGTTTGCTACAGGATAAGAAAATGCATATTGAACAACAAAACTGGGAGAGTTGACTTAACTGGCTTCGGTTTATAATACTTGAGTGTGAAGGAAAGCTCAAAGTACGTTAAAATTTTAGTCAGTTATGCCTGATGTCAATGGGCTGTTTTTATGGTTACTGATGACTGCCTATAAAGAAAAAGATCGGTCCTAATTTTCTGTATAATCTGCTTGGAGAGCCAAGACCATGTTTTAAAAGGATAATTCTCTCTCCTTTATGTTGACTACTTGATGCTTATGATTAAGAAAATAAAGTTTGTTCACTTAGGTTACAGTCTATGCTTGTTTTTAAATGTTTTCTTAAGACTGTGATTAAATAACTTACCCAGTATTGTTTCTCAGGCACACGTGATCCTCTCTTAAGGATTTGTGTGAATCTCATCTGGTAACATTTTTTATTTTTGCCTTCTCTAAACTGGATCCTAAATATATAAAAATAAAACTTGGAGGATATCACTGACACCTAAAACTAGCCTTGAGATTTCTCAAAGAATTCTTAGAAATGACAAAAACAAGGTTTTTTACTTGTAGGACAACTGTAGGATTGTGTCATGACTGCAAAGTTCCATGTGAAATCAGAAGGACCACTCAGCCTGTCTAGGTGAGTATATAACAGGTACAATGTTATCAATACGAATATTTCAGGATCATAGGCTTCAAGGAATATCCGTGATATTGGTTATTGACCTAATCGTCCATAACGTTTTTATCTTCAGGGAAAACACTGGCCAGATGCTTCCCTAATAGCTGTGTTGTTTTCTTCCATTTAGGGTATTTTAGTCCTACTGTGCTGCTACTAGACAAAGTCGTACAGTGTCATAATCTCAGTTACTAAATTGTTAATTTGGTGAGGGTCTTGCTTCTGTCATTTTAATTTAGCGTCTTGTAGGCTAGTGGCTTTCAACTGGGGATGCATGTCAGACTTACTAATGATTTTTTTTTTTAATAAAAATATAGATGTCCAGGACCTAATGCAAGCTCGCCAAATCTCTTGATATTCTGACATGTTCTTAGTATATTTATTGTGTCTCAGGAACATTATACCACATCTCAAGATTTGTTTCCTCCATAAAAATCAGGTTGATCCTCTTGAGACAGAGAAACTGAAGGACTCCATTAAAAAAAAAAAATCTGCTTTGTGCTCCTTTTTCTGCCTCTATTCTTGCTGGGACCTGCACCCCCACTCCACACGTGTCTCAGAATGCAAATAAGATGAGGGAAGTTGAGTGTGCTTGTGGACTTGGAATATTGTTGATATCGCTCTAAGGTCCTATTTTATGAACGTCTTCCCGTCTTAAGCTATCTGTAATTCAGGTGACTATAGTAGACAGTGTTTCTATAAACTGAAATACAACATTTTAAGATGAAACCTGATTTTCAAAGACTGCCTCAAAATTTGGAATCTTTTCACTAAGTCTCTTTGCCTTCCATGGGAATACAGATTTCTGTACAGTTTCAGAATAT